CACTCACACACACTGCATCCGCTACACACACACACACACACACACACACTCTGCATCCGCTACACACACACTCTGCATCCGCTACACACACACACACACTCTGCATCCGCTACACACACACACACTCTGCATCCGCTACACACACACACACTCTGCATCCGCCACCCACACACACACTCTGCATCCGCCACCCACACACACACTCTGCATCCGCCACCCACACACACACTCTGCATCCGCTACCCACACACACGCACTCTGCATCCGCTACCCACACACACGCACTCTGCATCAGCTATACACACACGCACTCTGCATCAGCTATACACACACGCACTCTGCATCCGCCACCCACACACGCACTCTGCATCCGCTACCCACACACACACACACTCTGCATCCGCTACCCACACACACACACTCTGCATCCGCTACCCACACACACGCACTCTGCATCCGCTACCCACACACGCACTCTGCATCCGCTACACACACACGCACTCTGCATCCGCTACACACACACGCACTCTGCATCAGCTACACACACACGCACTCTGCATCAGCTATACACACACGCACACACTCTGCATCCGCTATACACACACACACTCTGCATCCCCTATACACACACACACTCTGCAACCGCTATTCACACACTGCATCCGCTATCACACTGCGTCCATTATCACACTGCATCCATTACAAAATACACACACGCTGCATCCACTATGCAGACACACAATGCATCAACTACACACCCTGCATGCAATACACAGATACTGCAGCCACTGCATCAACTACACACACTGAATAACCTAATGGTTGTGGGAGTGTTTTGCTGGGGATAGAGGGGGGGGGTGGGGGGCAGCATTTCATCCTTTGACACAGGCAGCACAGTGACTTGGGACGGCCCTGTTTGCACGTCACCATTATTGTATTATTTCCATTCAAAGTGGCCAGCTGTAATATGCAGAATGGATTCTAAAACCCCAGCAACACCAACAACTGCATATAGGACTATAATATGGTTCTAGAAATCTTTTTCGCACTTTTGCAAGTTTTTTCAATCTAGTTTTCAATTCATGACAATTTGTTTATTGAATAAACCTCACAGGTGCATTATTTAAATTTGTTCTAAAGAACAATCATGTAACAACACAAAAGAAAACGTGGTTGGTAAAACGCAATGCTACATTCTCATATATAAATGATAAATGAACTATATGAGGCCATTATTAAACTCGCAGTAAGAATAAAACCACCTTTGTGCACTGCTACTATACTTAGGAGCTGTTTATAGTCACTTAAACCACAGTCTGTTTTCTGTACCCTTCAGCTGAGATCCTCTGCTTTTCTTTAGAACCATCAGACCTGTAATCATTGTGACTGTCTCATCTAAATTAATCGTTGCTACTGAAAAGATATAGTTCAATTGAGCACACCAAATTGGGT